GAAAAAAGAAGGGGAAAAAACATCTAGTAACCCTTGTAGATATTTGTACCAAATACCGCCTTAAAAATATAGGTACTGTTTGGCAAATGGTTAAGTGAGGGGTTAAGGAGACTTAAATCATTCTTAACCCGTCAAACACAAAAAATTTATACAATGGTTAAAGTGAGTTAACCCTCCATAATTTGCCAAACATAAAAAATATAGAAGGGTTAAGCTAACCCCTCTAGAGGGATTAAAATGAGTTAACCCCTCAAAATAAGGGGTTTACTAATACTCCTATTTAGAAGAATTAAGAGCTAACCCTTCTAGTTATAAAGAAAATTGTCAAAATCATTGTTATTCCCAAACACTAAAACTGATCACAAAAACTAAAATAAAACTTATTTAACAGGTTAATAATTTAGTCATTCGGATTATCAAATGAGCTAAGTACATTAATCATTCTTTTTAACTCCTCTTCCATAACCCTTTGACAAACGGGGCCATAAAAGAATCAAGAGAAAAATGTGTCCAAACCCCAAAATAAGAAAGTTTATGTGATCCGCCCTCTTGTATTTTGGCCCATGTGATTCAGCCCAAAAAAGTACCATTTAATATTTCAAGGCCCCTCCACGTCAGCAATATAAAAAAGAGATTGTATTTTGAAAAAACCCCGAAATTACCCCTCCACTTATCTTCCCTAGACGTCTGGTCCACAAAATACATGGAAAGTCACGCCCATTAATGCGATCTGATGGAAAAAATAGAGGAAAATTTCCCGCCCTTTTTTGAACTCTATCATGAGCAATAACTCATGTTAGTTCTAAGTTATTTAATGTTAGTTCTAAGTTATTTAATGTTAGTTCTAACTTATTTTATGTTAGTTCTAATTTGTGTTAGAGCTAATTTTAAGTAGAACTAATATAAATACTTTAGGCTATTTGGTCTAGTGGTAAACCTTATTTTATATTAGTTCTAACTTATTTTATGTTAGTTCTAACTTAGTTCTAATTCATGTTAGAGCTAACTTTAAGTAGAACTAATATATTTATACCATGTTATAGTGGCTATGTTAGTTCTAGTTAAGCTCATGTTAGTTCTGGTGGTTCTCGTGTTAGTTCTAGATGATTTCATGTTAGTTCTAACTGATTTCATGTTAGTTCTAACTGATTTCATGTTAGTTCTACTTCTAGCTAGTGTTGGTTCTAATATAAGCGTTAGTTCTAGTGGCTATATTAGTTCTAGTTGAGCTCCTGTTAGAACTGACACGATACCTGTTAGAATTGATACTAGAGAAGCTAGAACTAACACATCATCAAGTAGAACTAATATGGCGTTTAGACCTAACAATTACGCTAGAACTAACGACTTAAATAAATTAGAACTAACACGATACAAGTTAGAACTAACACTGGAGAAGCTAGAACAAACACATCATTAAGTAGAACTAACATGGCGTTTAGACCCAACAATTATGTAGAACTAACTTTATAACAAGTTAGTTCTAATTTTAACCAACATTTACGTTAGAACTAACGCATTAAATAAATTAGAACTAACACGAGCTGGTAAAAATTAGAACTAACCACATTAGTTCTAATTTATACAAAGTTAGTTCTATTTTATAACAAGTTAGTTCTAATTTATACCAAGTTAGTTCTATTTATACCACGTTATAGTTCTATTTACACCACATTATAGTTCTATTTTATACCACGTTATAGTTCTATTTTATACCATATTATATCTAATTTATACCAATTTAGTTCTATTTTATACCAAGTTAGTTCTAATTTTATACCACATTAGTTCTAATTTTATACCACGTTAGTTCTAATTTATACCAAGTTAGTTCTAATTTATACAAGTTAGTTCTATTTTATAACAAGTTATCTCTAAATTATACCATGTTAGTTCTATTCTGTAGCGTGTTAGTTCTAATCTACACCATGTTAGTTCTATTCTGTAGCGTGTTAGTTCTAATCTACACCGTGTTAGTTCTATTCTGTATCGTGTTAGTTCTAATCTACACCGTGTTAGTTCTAATCTACACCATGTTAGTTCTATTATGTAGCGTGTTAGTTCTAATCTATACCATGTTAGTTCTATTCTGTAGCGTGTTAGTTCTAATCTACACCATGTTAGTTCTATTTTGTAGTGTGTTAGTTCTAATCTACATCATGTTAGTTCTACTCTGTAGCGTATTAGTTCTAATCTACACCATGTTAGTTCTATTCTGTAGCGTGTTAGTTCTAATCTACACCATGTTAGTTCTATTCTGTAGCGTGTTAGTTCTAATCTACACCATGTTAGTTTTGTCGCAGTCCATGTCAGTTCTAGTGTATGCCACGTTACTTCTAATTTATACCAAGTTAGTTATAATTTATAGCAAGTTAGTTCTATTTTATACCACGTTATAGAGTTAGTTATAATTTATAGCAAGTTAGTTCTATTTTATACCACGTTATAGTGTTATTTTATAACAAGTTAATTCTAAATTATACGACGTTAGTTTTATTTTATACCACGTTATATCTAATTTATACCAAGTTTGTTCTATCTTATAACAAGTTAGTTCTAATTTTAACCACATTAGTTCTAATTTATCCCAAGTTAGTTCTAATTATACCAAGTTAGTTCTATTTTATAACAAGTTAGTTCTAATTATAACAAAGTTAGTTCTATTTTATAACAAGTTAGTTCTAATTTATACAAAGTTAGTTCTATCTTATAACAAATTAGTTCTAATTTTAACCACATTAGTTCTAATTTATCCCAAGTTAGTTCTAATTTATACCAAGTTAGTTCTATTTTATAACAAGTTAGTTCTAATTTTAACCAACATTTACGTTAGAACTAACGCATTAAATAAATTAGAACTAACACGAGCTGGTAAAAATTAGAACTAACATGAGCTGGTAAAAATTAGAACTAACATGAGCTTCGATAGAACAAACATGAGCTAACTCTAGTTATTTATGCCCTTTTTTAAACTCTATCATGAGCTAACTCATGTTAGTTTTAACTTATTTCATGTTAGTTCTAACTTATTTTATGTTAGTTCTAATGGCAAGTAAGAGCTAACTTTAAGTGGAACTAACATTAACACTTTGGCTACTTGGTCAAATGGTAAAGCTTGGGAATTTGAAGAGGAGGTCAGGAGTTCAAACCCTTGCAACTACAATATATATTTAAAGGTCTTTGATTGGACATTGGGCCTTGGAGATCTTTATTAGTTCTAACTAATTTTATGTTGGTTCTAACTTGCTCTTTGTTAGTTCTAACTCACTTAAAGTTAGTTCTAACTTGCTCTTTGTTAGTTCTAACTCACTTCATGTAGTTCTAGTTCTAATTCTTGTTAGTTTTAACTCGTTCTTTGTCTAACCCACTGCATGTTAGTTCTAGTTCTAATTCATGTTAGTTCTAACCCACTGCATGTTAGTTCTAGTTCTAATTCATGTTAGTTTTAGGCTCTTGTGCTCTTTGTTAGTTCTAACTCATTTTATGTTGATTGTAACTCACTTCATGTTAGTTCTAGTTCTAATTCATGTAGTTACTTTCATCAACATAAAATCTATAGACAATTGGGAGTACACAAGCTCATACCTGATGTAGTTATTTTCACCATCCTTCTCAAGGGAATGGCTGTGCAAGGAATGTTGAAGGAAGCAGCAATAATTTTCTTTCAAATACTAAAGAGGGGATTTATGCCAGATGTCATAGCACACTGTAGTTTGGTCGATTGCTTGTGCAAGCATGGCAATCAAATTGCTGGGTTTAAACTTTAAGAATGATGCTTAAAAATGGTGTTCATCCTGATATTGTTGTTTATAATGTTCTCATAAAGAAGGTAGAACGGACAGAACTAACATGGCAGCGAACAGAACTAACGTAAGAGATAACAGAACTACCATGAAAGCGGGTAGAACTAACGTAAGAGATGACAGAACTAACATGAAGCTGGTAGAACTAATAGTCAGTCCTTAGAACTAACAGTCCAGCCTTTAGAACTAACAGTTCAGCCATTAGAACTAACATTCCAGCCCTTAGAACTAACAGTTCAGCCCGTAGAACTAACATTCATAGTTCTAATTTTCCTTGTCTCCCCTTTCAAATTCACAGGTTCTTAGATTCTTTAGTCGACTTTTAATCACATTATCTTCAACTTTTAGCTAAATGTCGACATGCCTGAAGATTCAATGTGAGCTTTTGAAAATTTCTGCTGTTAATCTCTTATACAGAACTCTGTCAATCACCAAATCACACAAGAAAAAGGCATTAAAGGAAAACCCAAACCACTGTTTAAGAATCCAAGGAGATCCCATTTTAATTAAATGAAAGAGAAAAACTACAAAAACCCAATATTGATTCCCTTCATAAATTACAAGAAAACAAGAGCACTATCTTGATTAAGACATTGATTTGGTAAAGATATTCCGTAACTTAGAAAGGGGAGAACAACGATGCATCGGACCAAAGCTCCGGGCTCCGTCAGGTCGCGGGTCCCACCGGACCATGTTTCGTGTTTGTCGTTGAACCCACGTTCACGAACTGTTTCTAAGATGACTCTCTGACCTCCGACTCCATGACCACCGTCCTCGCCTTCGCCTCCACGACCTCCCCAAGGTCTGATCATTTTCAGTGGCCATGACGAAAGTGAGAGAGAAGGAGAAGTTGAGAGATAGAGGAGAGAGAGAGAGAGAGAGAGAGAGAGAGAGAGAGAGAGAGAGAGAGATGGGATGAGGTTAAAGGGATGAGCGTAGTTACCAAGCTCAATCAAATCAAAGGGTAAATTTATAACTTTTGTTGGGCTTTTCTCAGGATCCGATACTTTGAGGCCTTAACACAAATACAGTTTGTATTTGAGGCTTATACATATGAGTCAGAATACAAGGGGGCGGGTCACATGAACTTTCTACTTTTAGAGCATGGACACATTTTTCACAAGAATCAAACATCTCAAGTCAAAACGTTGAAGATAGATAAATATATGTAAAAGCCCCAAAGCTCAGGCGTGTTTATGAAATGTACCCTAAAACTGTACTTATAACACCAAGAGCCGAAATCTCCCAATCCCCTTCCCTCTTCCGCTGACTTCCTCCTCATCGAACTCCTCCAAATCCCTAAAAACCTCAAAATTTCCCCCAAATCATGACGACCTACGGCACGATCCCGACCTCAACCCCTCCCCCTTCCTCCTCCTCCACCTCAGCGAGCCGCTCGGCCCTTCGCCACGCGCGGGCCATGGCGGGGAGCTCTCCGGCGCCCGCTCCTTCTCCCTCCCCACGTCCCTCGGCGACGCCTACCTCCGGATCCGCACCAACTCTCCTACTTCGCCATTGAACTACACCCTCGTCGTCCTCCTCGTCGTCTTCCTCTCTCTCCTTCTGGCACCCGATCTCCCTACTCGTCTTCTCGCCTCGATGGCCGCCTGGCTCCTTCCTCTACTTCCTGCGGGACGAGCCGCTTGTGATCGTTTGGCGGTGATCGGGGATAAGGCGGTCCTGGTCGAGCTGAGCGTGGTGACGCTCGTGCTGCTGCTGCTGACGAAGGCGACCCTGAATATCCTGGTGAGCCTCGCGGTTGGGGTTTTGGTGGTTGTGGTGCACGCGGCGGGTGAGGAGGACGGACGATTTGTGCCCATGGATTGTGTTTTTTGTGTGTGTGTGTCTTTGGTATTGTTACCAGGCAGGCGCGAGCCCGTATTGTTGTATGTGTTTCTAAATTTTATTTTTATTTTCATTTTTTCCCCTTCTCTGGAATTTTGTGTGTTTTTAAGGGCGTGTTTTGATTTTGATGAGAGGAGTATTGCTTGATGGGGGTTCTTGGGTTGGTTTGTTTTCTGATGTTGGGTTGAATTGAATAATGGATTTTTCGGACCTCCCTCCCGCCCGCCATGCGTTTCTTGTTAAATTGCGATTTACGTTTTTTTTTCCTTCTTTCTTTCTTTGCCGCTTCTTGACTTGTGATGGGGGTCTGTACTGTAGATTTTAGTAATCGGAAGGAAGAACGTATGTAATAAAATTAGTTAGTGGAGATCTGTAGATGGGAGTTAAAAGAAGAGATCTGTCGGGCATTTACTCAAGCGGAGACCATCGTAGGAAGTAGTTGCGGTGATGGGAGGTTGAATCTTTGTTCAGACAAGATGCAACGAACTACACACTCTTCTAATTATGGCTAGAAAAAGGTTGTATTTTTTTTTTTCATTAAAGAAGATGTTAAAAGCCCTCTACACCATACCAAACATGAACAAATTTTCACTGTAGACCCAAACGAAATTTTAATTATCAAAATCGACCGATTTTTTTTTAATTATCAAAATCGACCAGTTTTATGCCACGTAGGCGTAATCCAGTTTCCTAATTAGTCGGGGTTGCCAACCCCGACTGTTTAGGAGTTGTTAAACCGGGTTTTAAGGCTTCTAATCGGGGTTTAACAACTCCTAAACAGTCGGGGTTGACAACCCCGACTAATTAGGAAACTGGATTAAGCCTACGTGGCATAAAACGGGTCGATTTTAGAAATTAAAAAAAAATCGGTCGGTTTTGATAATTAAAACTCCGTTTGGGTTTACTGTGAAAATTTGTTCTACCAAACATACAAGGAGTGCTGTGACAAAACTTCCAATTTACGGTGGGGATTGAGATTTGTACACGTCTCTACAGAAAAATTATTATAGCGAGGCTTGGGAGTTGTAATTTTATATTTTAATTTTAACATGTCTCTATCGAATGAGTGCTCTTTTCATGGATCGAGACACGGACTCTCGTAGCGAGGATTGGGAGTTGTGATTTTATATTTTACCACTGAATCTTGGGCTTTGGTTGCTCTTATAACGTATTAAAAGGTCTCTTTCACTACAGTGTGGGTTACGCCTACAGTTTCACTATTCTAGCAACACTGGTGCATGTTCTAGCTGCACAATCCCGGCTCTTAACCTGTCCGGTAGAATTAAGATGGCTTTTAACCTGTCTAGTTGAATTATAGAGGTTGTATTTAGGATCAAATAGGATGGCACGGTTTGCTATGAAGATGTTTGTGCTATTTGATCTTAAATGCATCATATTTGACTGCAACCTCATTTAGTAAAACGTGCATCTTCATTGTTCATTTAGGGGATGTTTGGTGGTTGTTGGTAAAGTTGTGTATTTATGACACGACTTGGAAAGTTGTTGTCCTCCTCATCAATTTCACTGAGCAACTTTTCTTTGTTTGTTTTTTATTCTATTGGAATCATAAATTGCTTGTTTGGTTTGCAAAATATAACTTTAATGGTTTGTTTGGAAAATATAAAAAGTGGTTATTGTGTGATCCCTACTCAAATGATTTTATTGGCCTAGCCCCCTCACTTCTAACACATATGTCAGCTTTCCTTCAAAATCAGACCATTTTGAAGAGATTTGTGAATCCATGCCACATCAGCATTGTAAATCACTTTACATTATTTTCACAACTACAAACAAACAATTAAAAAGGAAGAAAGCTGACATTGGGACCCACTTTTTTACACTTTTCATTCTTTTACATAGTAAAAACTTACAACCAAACAGCCCCTTAGAAAACGAAATATGTTACTATCCAGATTTTCTCTTTCAAAAATGCATCCATAATTCAAAGGCTAAATAGCACTTAAATACCTTATAGTTTCATTCCTTAGCATTTATATACCCTCAGTTGTATTTCGTAGTATTTATGTACCCTTAGTTGGTCAAAATTTGCAAGTTAACACCCTATATTTTACAAACGTAAAATTTTTCATCCGAAAGTTTTCATATAATATTCATATGTTAATTTTAGAGATTTTTAACCATTTATATTGATTAGATTGCTATTAAACTCACCCAAGTTCTAATTTAAATATATCGTAATTGTATTTCAAAAATAGAATTTAGAAAGATTTAACAATACATTCAACAAACTTATTAGAGAGAAACTTATAAGATTAACATATAAATATTATATGGGAACTTTCGAATAAAAATTTCATGTTTGCAAAATATAGAGTATTAGCATGCTAATTTTCGCCAATCAAGGGTATATAAATGCTATGAAATACAACTGAGGATATATAAGTTTTAAGGGATTGAAACCATAATGTGTTTAAATGCCATTTAGCCTAATACAAGTATCAATTATCTTTCATGTTTCTTTCTTGTGAGAAGGTAGCAGGTGTTAGTAGCCAATGTCTGCTTCTGATCTTTTTGTAAAGGAAGCATGGATCAATGAGACATGATGCAGGTTAGAATATGGAGGTGACATTCAGTGGGGACAATTCTCGTAGAGGAGTGACGTAGCCCATAAAGACAGCAGCTATTAATCCCTGTCATATAAGTTCCTAATAATTATTGAAAATTAAGAGTTAATTGGAAGCCAGTTCTACACGTCAATTTGTTAATGACAAAGTAGGAGATCCCAGTTGGTCGATGATCAACGCCTTTATACAAGGCGTGGGACCAGGATCATGTGCCTTCCATCCTTGTGCACGCGTTGGTTTTGCCGGCATTCTTGTTCTTTTTTATTTGTAACTATCCTCGACCGGGGGTGGGCGAAGAGTCCGGCTTGGTCTATTTTTGGTTTTAAAATTTTTGAAACCAAACCAAAGGAAGCTGAAGCTTTTCTAAAATTGAACCCAACTGTTGAATTTCAGTCGGTTCGATCGGTTTATTCTCTTTGCACACAACCTTATCCTTGAATATTGTTTTAACACTTAACACTCTTTAATTGGTTTTTTAGGATAATAATTTGCCAGTAACTCTCCTTTCTCTCATGGTCCCTCATAATCTTAGAGCGCTAAGCGCTAATAAAATAGTGCATGAGTGATCAGTAGTGCTATGTACATAGATTAGGGGACCGTCTGCGATCTACCAAGATTTTATTATGTATGAGCCCGGAGTTTGATGATACAGAAAAAAAGAGGGGAGAGAGACAGAGTAAGGGATAAAAGTTATGAGCCTTTTTGTCATTTTTCTTGGTCAAGCATGTTGATTATAATCTATCAAAATAAAACCTTTAAGGTTAATTTTTTGATGAATTATAATCCTAAATAATTCACTCAAAATATGGTTACCGAACATTCAAAAAATAGATTATAACCTAAAAAGTGGATTATAATCCTCTTTTGCCTCAATTGCTAAATATGCTCTAAAGTAAGTGTCAAGAGACAAGTCTACATTTTCCTTCCTCCATCATGTGATTTTATATAGAGGACAAGTAGTGATAAATGTACACAAAAGCTATACTACTTTTACACTCCTACGCACAAAAAGTGATACTTTTTCTTATAAATTGCAAAGATAAATTATGAGTTGTTATGGATCATACTTCTTCATGTCTAGGCGTTTTTTCTTGTAAACCGCAAAAGGTAGGACTTATTTTGTACTCCTATACACAAAAAGTGGGACTTTCTCTTTACTAGTTGAGATGCACGTGCAATGCACGTCGTTGAATATCATGATTATGTAAATTGATGAAAATAAAATAACGTTTTTTTTGTGGGATCGATCATCAACTCAATAATCACTCTTTCAAATGAAATATTATCATTATTTCCTTCAACCCAGACTGTCGTCACGTGATCTACTATTTATGAGTTATAAACACATTGATCTAGTACAACATCTCTGTTTATTAGTATGTTGAAGTCTTCAAAAGATGGGTGATCATTCAATTCACAAAGAAATTTTACATATGAATTTACTTACAATATGTCTATTAAACTTTTAGTTGTGGTTTGACTCATATTCATATTAACTTGTAGTTATGGTTTCACTCATATTTACATTATCTAATATTCTCATTCAATTTTATAGCTTATTTTTCGTACCATAGAAGTAAAATTGAAAGTATGAAGAATTATTTTCTTGCGAAATTAGATCAGAGAGATTATGATACATTTCGCTATGTGCTTTAAATATAAAAAAAATCATTTGATGCAAGGTCTCTATCAAATCTTGCCCCAAACGGTGTGAATAAAAAATCCTATTATAACTCACTTCCCTAGGGCAATTGTATTGTATATATGACATATACAATAGTCCCGTGTATTTTCTGGTTCTGACTACAAAATACGCAAGAGTGGTAGTCCCGTGTATTTTCTGACTTTAGTTACTTTTGTAATTAATGTTCCCTAATTACACGGGACTATTAGTCCCGTGTATTTTAAAGATGATTTTTTGTAAAGGATCTCTTTTCTTTTTTGCTAGTGTTGACGACGTGGCAAAACAGAGGTCAATTTTATTAATTATTATGTAAAACAATCACTTTTGCTAATACTTTTATAAAGTGATATTTTTAAAAATTCTCCTAAAATAAACTGTTAATTCAAAATATGAAATGGGCGAAAAGACCTAAACATTCCGGTGATTAATTGACTCATAAATAGGGAAAAATAATAATTAAAATAAAACTATATTTAAATTGAATCTAACAAGGTATTTCAGAGAATGAAGCATGAAATGGATCCAAGAAATTATTAAAAAAGAATTAAAGAAACTAATTTAAAAAATATGAGATCGAGGGATAGAGGGAGAGAAGACCTCACCAGCATGAATTCTATTTCTCTCCGAATATGACAGCGAAATTGGTGGAGAATGAGCAAGGAGAAAAGTGAACAAAATAGGTGACAAAGTGGGCATGCTTATATAATTAGATTATTAAGACTTTTGTCATGAAATCTTAAATACATACATATTAGCTCCTAACATCTCTATAATTGCTCATTTACAACAATATTACTATTCAATATTAAACCAATTTTATTATATAAGATTATATGACCATTTTTAATAATAACTTATAAAAAATATATATGGAAACCTCGATGCTTATAGCTAGTAGTTGGGCTTCATAAAATATGTTAACTTTACATTGTAGCTTGCTATTGGTAATACTGTTGGCAATACCATTACCTTTCCACTTTAGTTTATTATTCATATTTTTTTTGATGTAAGTCCTCTTTTGCTAATCACTCAATTGGCTATATTGAGTTTTTATAATATTAGATGTTAGAATATTCTCTTCTGTTTAAAAAGTGTTAACATGATTTTCTTAAAAAATATATATACATAGTAGCAATAGTATATACTTCGGTTCAACTCAAATATTAGTTTGAAGCCATTTAGAGTGAGATCTTTTCTACGCTAGAATGGTGATATAGTGATTACACAATCCAAAAATCAAAGAAGAAATTTCTACAAAGAAAAAGTAATTTAATATGTCAAATTAAGAACTAATTTATAAAATATACATGAGCAGTACAGATAGATATAAAAAGTAAGGTATATATCTTCATAAAAATTCCATATTGAGTGACCAAATAATCATCCTAATTTAAGTATAAGTAGTTATTATTTTAGTTACTAATTTCATACGCGTAACTATAAAATATATCTCAAGCAGAAAATAGGAATTAAGATTGTATCATGCTGTAGGTAAATAAATAAATGTTATTAGAGCTCCTCTTTATATTAATTTAAAAGTAATAATTTAAATTGTTAAGCACTAAATATTAGTTTGTGCAAGAAAGTAAAGTAATTTATGGTTTATATACCTATATAGTCAATCAATAAAACGTATTAAAATTATGATGATCACAATCAAAATTATATGATAGGTTCATATTAATATAATTTATAAAAAATAATACATTAGAGTCAAAATCCTTTTAACCACTATATAAATTGTTTGAAATTTTTTGCGTATATAAACTATATTGCTTAGGAATAGTGATATGCACACTTAACTATGGCCTAATACATCTTAAGAACTACTTACTCTTCAATGTCATCATTAATTGACGTATATATGCATTACACTAAAAACACAATAAAAATTTTAAAAACTATAAAAAACAACCTTAAAAGTTTTAAAAATCGTAAAAAAACCCTAAAATTTTGTAATTTACGAATATACAAAACTATTAAACATTATATTAAAATCAAGGAACTACAAAAAATCATTAAAAATTTTCAAACTTTGGAAG